AGCTGTTGCTACTGTGATGACTGATTACTTTCACCTTTGATAAGAGGATAATAAGATAGACATTATGTGTTGTCTTTATGCTGTCTCTACATCCAAGGCTCTGGCCTCATTGTTGGTGATGAGTGCTTTTATTAGGAATTGGATTGGATCTTGTACTTTGGTCAATATCATATTGAACTTAATGCATATCTATTGGTTTTAAACATGTCCTGTCACAAGATTGTGTCATCTCTTTAAGATGGTCTGGAATGCTGACTTCTCAAAAATTGTTACAAAATCTGCATGTCACATGAGTGCCTTCCTGTCCTACCCCTCCCTGTCTTACAGCTCAGATGTGGCTTCTAGAGTAGGCACCTGGCCCCAGCTAGGCCTTCCTCCTTGAGGTCAGCATGGGTATCTATTGTGGTGCTTCGTGCAAAGTTGTCTTTCATGTGATGATTGGGGTTAGTGGAGCACAGTGGTCCCAGTTCTCTGGTTATGAATGATCCCCATTCCTACCTCTCGTGGTTTTTAACCCCCACCCCCATACTCATTCCTGCCTCTCAGCAAACTTGCACACTTGAGCAATTCTGAGGATTACAGAAGCACATGCTCTCTGATACATACCCATCTGGGTTGTTATGGGATCCAGGGCGCGGAACTCCTTTCTCCCCCTCTGTTGAAGTTCTGAGGTCATTTTAGTTTGAATACCTCCTATGAGAAGCTATTTGTCTTAGAAAGGAATCCACAATTGGGACTGATAGATTACTTTGCTTTTAGTAAAAGTGAAGATGGTATCTTCATGAACCCAGTTAACAGATATTTATTGGATTCCAGCTATGTACTAGGCGTTGTTGTAGATTTTGGGAGGAAAGCTCTGAACAAGAGCAAGTCCATCCTAGTGGAGCTTATGTTTTGGTGGGCAGACAAATTAAGGCAGTAAACAAATAAACAGGATACTTTCAGATAGTGCGAAGTACTGTGCCGGAAATAAAATCAGATGGAGGGTGATGAGTAGTAGAGTGGGGAGGCCACGTTAGATTATGTAGTCGGAGAACACTTCTGTGAAGACCTGTGACCTTATTATATTCTGAATCTGCTCTGGGTCACCACAGTTACTGTGAGCTGTCACCTGAAGGAAGGGCTCTGGTTGATCATATTTTTTCCCAATGTCATTTTTCCTTCTGTTTTCATGGGCAGGGCCATTCTTACTCTTGGAATCTTGACCACCTAGAACCTTAGTGATCTTGGTAAATTGGAATCTATTTCCCACATGGCAGGCAGAATGATCATTTTAAAAAACGTAAACCCTATCAAGTCTTTCTTATCCAGAATTTCTCAGTGACTTTCTGTGTCATTCACAATGTAGTTTTAACTTCTTACTATGGCTTATTTTTAAAAGCATTTTTTTTAGTTGTAGATGGACACAATATCTTTATTTTATTTATTTATTTTTATGTGATGCTGAAGATCGAACCCAGTACCTTGCATGTGCTAGGCGAGCGCTCTGCCACTGAGCTACAACTCCAGCCCTTCCTATGGCTTATGTGCCTCATATGATCAGGCTGCTGCCTACCTTGCTGATCGCCTCTCTGAGTGTCCTCCCTCAGCTTGAGTTTTGCTGGTATCAGATTCCTCTAACGTACTGAGAACTTCCCAGCCATAGGGCCTTTCTGTTGCTGTTTTGGATACCTTTGCTGAATATCTCCTGTGGGCATGCTCTCATCCTTCAGGTCCAGGCCAGAGATCCTTTTGAAGCTGCTTCTCCAGACTGCTTGACCTAAGTCTTACTGCCATCTCTTCCTTCCACTTTCCCATGCCCTGACTTATAGTCTTTGTGGTCCTTCTGAGTGCAGGTTGAATGAACATCAGGTGTGCCTTCAGAGAGCTTTTCTCAAACACTTCACTTGCCTGTGTTCTAGAAGCATCCCTCAAAACATTCCTTGATTCTCTTTATATCTAATTTTGCATTAAAGATTCTACCTTGGGTAGATCAGGTGTGACTGGTCTGTTTGGGTGGTAATGGTAATGCATTCTATTTTTGAGGTAACCCAAAAATGATGAGGTACTCACTCCTTTTTTCCTTTTAAGTCTCTTTCTCTATTTCTTTACTTTTATATGCAGGGGATAGGAAAGGGAAATCTCATATTTTCGAATCTGTGTCATAAGTAGCACCATGTAGGAGGCCCAGTTCTGTTGAGCTGAGCCAGTTAACTTTCTGTGAATAAATTCCTTTTGTAAAAATCACACCTAGAAGAAATATACTCACAGCTGACTTTTAAATTGATGAGGTCATGTATATGTTCACTCATGTGTATGAAGCTGCTTTAAAAAGAGAGATTTTGAATGTTAGGGTATATATTCTCCTTCCCACTCCCATTTAAAGGTGCTGTGTTTTAACAAATCATATTATCTGTAATAGCACAAATGGGAATTTGTGCTTTATAAGCCTCATAATCATTTGTGTAAGATGGATGCATTTTTATTGTCTATTAAAAAGACTAAAATAAATATTTCTTCCACTTTGGTTATATTTCAGGTCCCCACATGTCTTTTGCTGACACTGTGTCCGAGCTGGAGCCACATCTCTTGTTCTTCCAATGGATACCCCCAAGGCATAATTTCTGCACAAAATGTTTTGAAACCCTCTGGAGACTTTTTATAAGATTTTATAACAGTTCATTCAGAGAGTTTCCTGTGCCTGAAAGGGTCTTAACAGGAACTTAGCTAACAGAAGACAGTGTTTCACAACTGCCTCTTTAAGTTTTAGGACTCCAGCCTTGCTAAGTAGAATGTAAGCTAAGAGAGCTAAGAGTTAGTCTCTCTCTCTCTCTCTCTCTCTCTCTCTCTCTCTCTCTCTTTGTGGAACACCACTATTCTTAGACATTTAATCTAGGGTGGGTGGGGATGAAGAAGCGACAGCATCACCTCCGTCTTTACACACAAGGTGCCTATTTTGTGACATCTAAGCACTGGAGACTTACTGACCCACATTCTTTTTCTCCTCCTCCTCCGGGATTGACCGTGCAGGGATCTAGTACCTCAGTTAAAATGTGTTGCCACTCATGTCTGTCCCCACTGACTTTTCAGTTGTTAGAAATTAGCTCATGACCTACAGAGAGCACTGTGTCTGTACTTCTAGAGCCAGAATCCATGGAGGTAGCCAAGGAATGGACAGTGTTGGAGGATGTGAGAAAATCCTGGGCCTGAAACACAAGCTGGCCTGTTTTTCGGACATGCATTATATCTTTTCCTCTGCTGATTTCTGGTATCTTGGTAAATAACAAAGTTGAGCTCCTTTCCCCTGTTTTCCTATCAAGTTGGTTTTGTTTTACTCGTACTGGGGATGGAAGCCAGCAGGACCTTGTTCAGGTTAGGCAGGTGCTCGACTACTGAGCCATATCCCCAGCCCTTGAGCTCCCTTTGAAAATCTTTATCATCTCTTTTGGGGAATATCCATAGCTGATGCTCATGGGAGGCATAAAGGGCAGAGGAACTCTGGCCAGTGTAGGAGAGCCAAATCTGTGGGAGAGCTCTCGAGACATCAGGCGCTGTTTCTGCTGCATTCTGCCAGCTTTGTGGAACAGTATGGACCCACCCCTGCACTTGAATAAGGCACAAACAGGACATACTGCATGACCTGAAGGTCTGAGATTTGTCCCTCTGCTTGTTCACTGGGTTGACCAGGCCAAGGCTGGTTGCCATGCAACTCTGGACATAAGAGAAGCAGGAGAACTCCCCACTGAGTGCTCTGACCCCTTTGCCTTTTGTCTTTGTTTTCCCTTCCCTCAGAGGCTTGAGGGGTAACAGTTTGGGATAGGAGGACATAAAGTACACTGATTTGAAATATTGATTGTTTTGCTGGTTCCAGCTCTAATCAGTAACTGGTATTAAATCAGAAGGCCCTGACACCTTTCTGAGATCCTGAGTTCCTGGAATAGATGGGGAGAAGAGAGGTGAATTCTTTTGGGCTTCAGTAGGATGCGGAGTATTGGGAACAGTGAAGGCAGCTTCTTGATGAGTTTTTTTCCCTCTTTCCACATTTTTTATTGGTGTATTATAGTTCTACACAATGATGGGATTTGTTGTTACATAGTCATACATGCATACAATATAACAGTATAATTTGATCAGTATCATTCTCCATTAATCTTTTTTTTGGGATTTTTATCAACCCCTCCCCCCATATTTACTTTCAGCAAATCAGAGAATAAAAACAGCTTGGTTGGCTGGGTGTGTTGGTGCACATCTGTAATCTCAGTGACTTAGATGGTTGAAGCAGGAGGATTGCAGGTTCAAAATCAGCCTTAGCAACTTAGCAAGACCCTATCTCAAAAATAAAAAAATAAAAAGGGCTAGAGCTGTGGCTCAGTGGTAAAGCACCCCTGGGTTTAATCACTGGTACCAAACAAAACAAAACAAAAACCCCATCTTGGTTGATGCCAGAAAAGTTGTTTGAAATTTTTGACTATACATTCTTTTTAAAAAAATTCTTTTATTGGTTCTTTTTAGTTATACATAGCATTAGGATTCATTTTGACATCAGTATAAAAGCATAGAATATAATTTGTTCTAATTCAGTCCTCAGTACTTCTCTTTTCCCTACCCTCTCTCCCCTTGTTCCCTTCCCTCTACTGATCTTTCTGCTATTATAGTTTTTTTAAATTAGTATATTGTGGAGGTACGTAATGGTGAGATTTACTGTGATATGTTCATATATGTACATAGGAAAGTTAGGTCAGATTCATTCCACTGCATTTCCTTATCCTGTTCCTCCTCCCTTTGCTTCATTTCCCTTCGTATTCTCCACTGTCAGTCAGTTTTAATAAGGCACACTTGTAGATGAGGTGCTTCCATTTGGGCTATGTCAGCCAGGGTACTTTCTATTGTGAGAGAGAGAGGAACCAAGCCAAGCAGCTTAAGCAAGAAGAGAATTTGCTATGGTGTACAGCTGCAAAGCCCAGGGTTGTTCTGATTTTGGACTTACCTGGGTCCCATCTCCAAAGGATGTTTGCAGCTCCAGTGTCTGCATTACTCCCCTCTGCTGTCTTCTAGGATGGTGCCATTCACAGGCAGCTTCTTCCCTCACATTGGCAAGATGACTTGTGACCAAGAGTCCAAACCCAAAGCCCTGAGCTTGGATCTCATTGGCTCTTTTTTGAATTGTGACTTGTCCTTGAGATAATCCCTGAAGCTGGCCTGGCCTGAGGCCAGAGTGGCGTTAACATTAAATGAAATACATTCTGAAAGTTGGGGAGGGATGTTTTCTGGAGGAATATTAGGGTTCTGTCAATACAGGTGAAGGGGGTTAGCAGCCTAGGCACCCACATTCCTCTCATACTGGCCTAAGGAAATTGAGCAGGATAATCTAGGGAAGAGAAAGGGTTCTGCCTCCCAGATAGATCTTGGTTCTCTTTTGCATTTGGATAAATCAATTTGGGCTATCACCTGTTAGTTTACTAAAGTAATCCTGATAATTCATATTTGGAGAGAGAGAGAGAGAAATAAGAGATAGTTTTGAAGTATTGGGTACTTACTATCAGGTCTGGGCAGACTGTGAGCAGCCAAGGAACTGTAAATGCCTAGAGAATCAAGGATAGGACTGTCAAGCCGATAAGAAGGAGAAAGGGGACTACCCCTGCTGGGACAAATTAGAAAAAGTGAAAGCAAAATGCCATAGGGGAACTATTCAGTAATGCAGCAGAGTTTCATGACCCTCAGTGATTTCTTATGACCTGGACAGAATGAGAGTTGGTTCTTTATCAGTTTAGAGTTTGGGAAACAGAATGCACTCAGGAAAACTTGTTTTGTTATACTTTCTCTTTTTTTGTGAAACTGGGAGTTGAACCCAGGGCCTAGCACATGCTAGGCAACTACATCCAACTACATCCCTGCCCCGCATGAGAACTTGTTTTGGATTTGCTGATGGCTAGTGTAGATTAGACTAGAAGAGTCAGCAAAATTTTCCTGTAAAGGATCAGATAATAAGTATTTTAGGCTTTGTGGGCCACAGAGGGTCTCTGTTGTATCTCTGTATTTTCAATCTTTTTTTGGTGTGGGGGATTGCACCAGGGCCTTCTACACTGTAATCACATGCTCTAGATATTTCTCTTCTTGTTTGTATTCACAGTCCTTTAATAATGTAAAAACCATATTTAACTCGCAGCTCATTCAAAAGCTGGAGTAGAGCTGAAGTTTGCTGAGCCTTAGCATGGGTTTTGGAGTCAAGTAGGCCCAGGTTCCAGTCCTATCTGTGTGGTGTGGTAATGCCTGGGCATTTTAACCTTTCAAAGACTCAGCTCCTTTAGTTTTCTCATTTGTAAACTGAGTCTGATGAGAGTACCCATCTCAGAAGGTGATTGTGAGAATGGCTTAGAAAGTATCAGCTCTTTGGAGTTAGTTACCCTTTACGCCTTTACTTGGATCCTTTTGGCGTGACCCTTTACGCCTGTGCAGCATGCTCTGGAGGGGAAGATGAGCCAAGCTCTAATGGCCTTTGTAATTTTTATCATTGTTCCTCTTTTGGTGCCCTCTTTTTCTCTCTTCTGGACAGCACTTCACCAGGTTTTGGGAACTTGGTGCTAATCTCAGTTTCATTTCTGGTGTGTTCAGGAAGTGACCCACATTTTAATCCATATTTGGCAGTAACTGAAATAAATTGGCTAGATTCATTATAAAAATGCAGAATATGTACTTGTTTTGCTTCAAGCCTGAAATTCCCTCCTTATCCCCTTTTATCTAATTGCATTCCAATTTATCAGCCTATCAGGACTCTTATAGAAACCAGAATTATTTTTTTCCTCTTTTAGCAGAGACAACGTCGCTTGTTGAACTTGGTGGATGGATATAAGTAGGTTTTGAAAAGGACTAAATTTCTCCCCTGAATCTCAGCCCTGTCATCACCACTTTGTACAGGTAAATTATCATGGAGTGGATAGACCTTGTGTGTCCCTCCAATGGTCAGGAGCCTATACAAACTTGCCTTCTTTAAGCTTTTCTCATTCGCTTTCCCAGTAAGATCTTTCTCAATAAGGTCTACCCTACCAGCCTTTCCTGGCCCACTTCTCTGCTTTACTCTTTGCTGTGGTGCTTACCTTGTTCTAACATACTGTATAATTTATTATGGTTTTTTTTTTTTTTTTGGTCTGTCTCTCCCTATTAGAATGAAAACAGAAGGGCAAAGGTATTTATCATTGTTGTTCATTTCTGTATCACTAGTACTTAGAATGGCATCTGGAACACAGATAAATATTTGTTGAATGAATGAATGAATGCTTTAATTCTTATATCAGAGTGCTTACTACATCCTATTCTCTCTGGCCTAGGAGTCCCTAAGACTTGGGTTTGAATATGGACTCTGCCACAAATTGCCTCTGTCTGTGAGCAAATCATTTAATCTCTCAGGACCGTAGCTCTCTTATCTATAAAATAAAGGGTTAGAGTACATGATTGCTGAAGTTTCTACTAGGTCTGTAGTTCTGTGATTATAATCTCTGGTTAAAAGAGACGATGTACTGCTATTACAATTCCCACAGATATTTCCTAAAAACAGTTTGAATTTAATTGGTGGGCAAAGTGAATTGAAAAAGTCTTTGGAGGCATCTTATGCATTTACTAAAACAGTTCTTAGTATGGTTGTTTTCAAGAACATTTCCATTAGCCCTTTTAGGATGAAGTCCAGACGTCTTGATCAGGCTTCCTGAGCCCTGTGGACATTGGACCCAGCAGGCTCCTGCAGCCTCTCTTTGCCTATGTAGACACACTGTGTGTTCCAGTCCTTTGGAATCTGTTTTATTTTCTTCAATGGATGATGGATTTCCCAGCTTTAGTCTACTGAACATTTCTGTCCTTTCCTTTTCTTATTTCAGTGCTGACTGAACCTAGGGCCTTGTACATGCTGGACAAGTGTTTCCATTGAGCAACTCTCCCATTCTCCCCACCCCTCACTCCCCAGGTATTTCTGTTCCTTCTCCCAGGAGAACCTGGTACCTTCTCTACCCTCCTTTGTTTGACTAGTGCCTACTGACACAGTAAGTTGGGGAGGGATTGGCAGTAGGTTCCACTTCACCAGGAAGCTCACTAGCTAAAGTGACTATTTTGGGTTGGCTGGAGCATCTATGCAGTAAGAGTGAAAAGTTGTTGGGATTAGTTTGTGAAAGGTTTGGAGACCACAGTGAAGAAGCTGTCTTCATTCAGAGGATACTGGGAAGCCAGTGGTAGTTTTCTGAGTAGTATAGTGACATAATCAAAGCTTTATGAACTAGAGAGCCCAGCTACCTCAGCATTGAAAGCATCATTTCCCTAATCCCTAAAATATCCTTGGGGGGAATAAATGCTAGCGTTCCTGTTTGTAAATGGAGAAAAGCTGGGACACCTAATGATTAAAGGACTTATTTTAGGCGTCACAGAGAAGCAGTGCTTTGAGTCAACACTTTTTATAATTAGATAGAATTGTGATCTGTAAGATTGATGAATGTTGCAAATGTCTTCGTTCACTTCTCAAGTGGGTAGCAAGGTGAATAATCGTGTTGACAGGCTGCCCTTTAAAGTTGACTGACTCATGGATGCTTCTGGAAGATTTAGCGTACTTGGATTCTGCTGAGGAGACAAGAGGATGCTCTGGGGGATGGATAAAGGATGCTTTTTTTGTATCGTGTCTGTCTCTGCTCACTCTCTGTGATTGCTTATATCATGAGGTTTAACATCCAGGATCAAGGAGCAGGTCAATGCGATTTCCCTTCCTGGCTGGTGTAAGAAGAGGGTGGTAGCAAGCCCCATCTGTGACTCCAGTGTACTTAAACTTTAAAGAAGGGGCTTTGGTTTTTTAGCTGTATTATAGACTCCATTTTTAAAAACTGGATTTGAAAATGAAAAACTTAGGGTGTGATTGATGATCTCCCAAGAGTTATTCCCTCTCCATTGGAGGAGCAGCACTTCCCAAATGTGAGTGTGCTTCTAAATAACCTGGAGGCCCTTGTTACAATGCAGGCTCTGGGGTTTGGAGTGCTAGTGGTAGAGTGCTAGCCTAGCATGAGCAAGGCCCTGGGTTCCATTCTCAGAACCAGAACTGAAAACAACATGTATATTCTGAGGTGGGCTTGAGACTCTGCATTTCCTCCAAGTCCTGGGTCATGCAGAGGCTGTTGAGTTGCTTGTGCTAGACAGGGGTTTCCTTCCTTTCCTTTCTGATCTTTCTTCCTTTTCTCTGTGTCCCAGCCTTTCTTGTTCTTGATGTCTCAGACAGTTGTCCCTACTTATGGCTGCTGGTATTCAGTGCTAGAACTCATTGATTAGCATGTGGCTACCATTATAGCCAGAATGGATTTTTGAAAGTTTGATCACGTCACCTTATTACTTGAAATTCTTTGGTGCCTCCTCCCCTACATTGCTCTTAGAACTAACCTCAGTCATGGTCTGGGTCCCTTTGCTTCTCCAGTTTTATCTTGCATCATCTCTGCATTTTCCAACCACCTGGACCATTTTCTGCTCCCTTTGATGCCCATGCATCTCCATTACAGGGCCCTGGCACCTGCAGTTCCCTCAGAAACAGATCCTTCCACCTCTCTTCACCTAACTCCTTTCAATCTCAGCTTAAGTGCCACTGCCTCCGGAGGCCACTTGGCTTCCCAGTCTGGTGCCTTCTGTGTAGGCTAGGCCTCTCAGGTGTGTATCTGGACTCAGCAGCAGAGAAATGGCCTTGGTGGGGCATTGGTGGCTGTTGCTTTGACTCTGCTCTCCAGCGTACATGATGCAGAATTTTAGGAAGTTGTAGATTGCCCAAGTTGTTGGTTGCCTTTCACAAGCCACTCTGCCTGGAAGAGTGGTGATGGTGAAAGTATGTAAGAGGAAGAGCATAGTTTCCACCAGGGACCATATTATATCATATAAATGGGGTTATGAAGCTGCTGTTTGGACTTGGTGAACAGTCTATTTGTCCTTCCTGTAACCTGCATGCTTCTCCTTTTTCTGTTGTTGTAATTTTATAAATGTTAAAACTATGCCCCAAAGGCAATTCTTATTGCTTTGTTTTGGGGCTATAGGATATATGGCTGAGCCAAAAAGAAGCCAGATCTGATTATAACCTGGAGCCTCTTCCCACACCAGGTTTTGCTAGTCTGGCATTTGAGTGGTATCCTTAAGGCCTGCCAGCTGTGTGTCAGTTTCCTGGGCATGTGGACAGTCCTGTTAGGTAACACTGTTCCTTTCCAGCCTGGAAGGGATACCTTGACTACATCCTGCATCAAACCTCACAAACTCCATGAACTTGGTCACCTTTCCTGTTCTTCTTTTCTACTGTAAGAGTGAAGCAGTGCCATATTTGCATTTACAGCAGTGAATACTGTTAGAACAACTATGGGTGTCTGTGTATCTTAATGTCTTTACTTTTTTTCTAGAGAGACTTGTTCTTTGCACTTTGGTCCTTATAACTTAGTACAGCTTTAATGATAAAATCTCCTTAAGTGCTAATGCTAAGGTCCATGAGAGCAGGATTCATGGGTGTATCAATCCTCAGAGGTCTGCATGGTGACTAGCACATACTAGCCACTCCACAATTGCTTGTCAGGAGAAATGTCTTAATTTGTAATATAGTAGATGCTGGTGGATGCTTTGAAGCCAAGGGGGTTTGAACCCATAAAGAATTCCTTAGCAGGATTTATTCTTCAGGCCACAGGGAATGACATGTAATTAGCTTCACAGCTACATATTCATTTGCTTGATTCACAGGCTTGATCAGTGGAATGCACAATGTTATTGAGAAGACTTGATCTGTTGGGGCGAATCTAAAGGTGATACCTTTTATCCTGTTATTCTTGAATGCAGGCTCTGAGAGGCCTTACTTATCTTTCCATTGTTTGGCATGATGATCCAGAAAGCACTGATTGCAAAATAAGTAACTATAAACTATCCAGACTAAGTGACTGAATGATGAACACATTTGTCTTAGCATAAAGGTTGGGGTGTGGAGCTGGGAAGGACTATAGAGACGTGCAGCTTATTACCCTTCCCTTCTTTAGTGACTCATTGGAATCAGAGGTCCCCTCTCTCCCTCCCTCTCTCTCTTTTTGCTTCCATTACATTAAACTATCATCAGAAAGAAGGCCAAGTTCTTTTTCTTGTCTAATTCCATTATTTGTGCTTTGTTAATAGACCTGCTTGTGGGGTCAGTTCAGTAATCTCCTAACACTCTGCGACTTCCTGTGAACCTGGCAGCATGTTCTCATGTGCCCATGTGTGACTTGAACTCTCTAGCTGTGCGCATCTGTCTGCAAGCTGGAAGGTCTGAGCATCAGGGTGGGAGGAAAGCGGGGGCCGTGGCATAGAGATGGAAATGTTGCCAGCTTCATTTCTTGTTTCAGTCTAAGAAAGTATCCATACCTCCACATCGTATGGCTCTTGCTCTTTCCTGACGAGGAACATGGAGTCACAGAGGCCTCTGGACAGCAGTGTGTGTGTGTCTGTGGGTCTGTGTGTCTGTGTGTTTGTATAATCAGACATCAGCCCAATGCAGGTGCCATTTCCTGTTCTTGAGGCATCTTTAATTGCCTGATGGTGGATGTGTGGTTTAGTCAATTGGTGCACTGGGCCGATTGCTTTTTGCTTTTCTATACATTTATTTATTTATTTATTGTCCTGGGCTTAGCTTTGATTCCTTTCTTTGGGTTTGAGCTGTGGAATTTCTGTCGGAGCCTTTCACATTTTGGTTTATACATCATCCAATTCTACCTTCTGTCATCTCCAAGTTGACAACTGTGCACTGGGGAATAATAAGAGTTGTAGTCATAGTTAATAGCTGTTGCTGACACCCCGTGTGCCAGACCTTCTGTAAATCCCACAGGCGTTCTCATTCAGTCCTCAAAACAACCTTCTAAGAGAGTGATACTATCACTATTGCCACCATCTATCTGTCTGTCTGT